CAAAATTGTTAATAATTGATCTTTATTTTTTGCTTTTAATCCTTGGAATTGTGGCCTTTTAGACTGGTCCAAGGATCTAATTAATATTCGAATTACAGACAATAATTCATTCTTATGTTCTAAAGATATTGATTCAAGAGCTTCTGTAACAGTTTTTTCTAAATCTTAAGAGTAATCACAATCTCTTCATTAGAATCACTCTCAGATAATAATTCAAATTCATCACCTGAACCAATTATACCAATTATTGTTTCAGTCATAAACTGTTTCATCTGAACTGTTATTAAAAACATTAAAATCTTGATTGTTTTTAATTTTTTTTTGTGTTTTAAAGTTTCTTGCAATTTTTAAATGATTGTCTTGATATTTAGGAGGCATCGTAAAAAAATCTGACAAAGGGAATGGTTTAATAGTAATTTAGAAAAAATCAATAAATCAATATCTAGTATGTATCTTGATTTGGTGTCAATGTAAAAAGTAGTTTTTTCTCATTATATATTATAAAAATGGTTTATTCTCATGATTGGTTATTTTATTTATTGATTCTTAGAATATACTGAACTGATGTAAAATATATATTTGAGAAAATTTTTTTAATGTTTTTTTAATCACTTCATATATAATAATATAATGAAAAAATTTTATAAAATAAAATATAAAATGATTCCACCCTTACAAATTATAATAATTAATCCATAACTTTATTAATATAGCAGCCTTGCATTGAAAATATACACAAGTAGGTCAAAAAAACAATTGTTTGGAGTGCAATAACTTCTCTTAAAAAAAAAATTTAAAAAAAAAACAAAATAAATATATATATTATTTAAACCTAAATTTCAAAAATAAATTTTAAACACAAACCTCTTTAAAATCAATTAGAACTTTTTTTGTTATTATCATCAAGAACTCTCCATCCTCTAACTTTACTATCATTGAGAAGATTTAAATACATATCAGACAATTCTTTGCAATTTTGATGATGGTTAACACCCTCTGTTTTGTAACATTGATTCAATTTGTTTCGAATCATTCTAAACTCCATTGCTTTTACCCAGTCTTCACGAATTTTTTGTTCACGAGCATCCAAGATATAAGAAGATATAATTCAAAGAAGTTTTCATTTTTTTTGTTCTTTTAAGCATAATTTGCAAATTTACATGC